TATCTAAATTTACGAAAATTATTTGACGTTCTCTAGTTATTCTATTTATTATTATTTTTTACAGTTAATATAAATTGAATGAAACACATGAATTATAAATAATATGTACTAGAAACAAAGTATAGTCAAAACATACTGTATTAAAGAGCTTTGAAAAAATTATGAAATTTTCTATTTATTTTTCTAAATATAATTGTAAAAAATTTGTAATTATTAATTTATGAATATGTTTCGTATTTTAGTTTGATTTGGATAAAAATAAAGCGATATAAGCACAATAAAAAATAAATATTTAAAAGTGTATCAAAATATAAACTTTAGTTATTTTATTTAATTTATCTTTTTTTTGTAAAAATATTTATTACTGAAATATGATTTGTACTAAAATGTAAGTACGTAATTTAACAAAATTATTTTACTTAATTTCAATACTTTTTAAATATTTACTAGTCAAAATAAAATATACAGCACAACCTTATAAATCGTAGCACATACATACAAATTATATATTATACCGTCTGATTTATAAAATTATTATTAAAAAAAACATATTTTTATATAGCTGTTAAACAAGATATAAACACACATAGTTATATATTCAGACATATCATTGCATATAATATTGTTATAGTAATAATTATTTTATCAATATATGTTTCAAGGCAAAAATCAGTCATTTAATTTTTCAGAAGAAAATGTTCATAGAGTTAATTCATTATGAACTATAATTAAATACATTGTTATAAACATTTTTGAATAATATTTTAATCGAGGTAGAAAAAAATAAAAATATATATTATGATTGTTTTAATTAATCAGTTACAAAAATTCTTACTTAATAATTATAGTATCTGCAAATCAGTTATCCTCTTTCCTATAACCTTAATTATTTTAAGTGTTTAAAACTCTAATTTTTGATTTTTATTGTTCTTGATACGATTAAATTCGTTGGAAAAGTAGGAAATACCTAATGTTATTTCTTACTATAAATCTAAAATAATTATTTAATGTATAATATAATAACTAATTCATGTAATCACTATGTTAACAAACTTTCTTGTTTATTTAGTTAAGATCCTAAAATTCTTGAACGTTTGAAGTGTATACTCACTGGTAGGGTATTTTCAGTTATAATTAAATAATTTGGTATCCCGTTAATTTATCATAAATAATTTACCGAACGACAATTTATCGAAAATTACCTATATTAGTACTTGTATAGTAACGAAATAAGACTTTTTCATAAAACTCTCGGATCTGCAAAATAATTACCAACATGACCTCGAGTTTTCATAACGAATTTGAACGCTACTAGAATTAGCTTTTTTCCAGAAACTGACGTAATAAAATGTTATAATACATGACTTTCCACAAACTATTGCACAGATAAATGATAATGAAGACCCACTGGCACCACTGTTAGATTATTTCTAAAATACTCGTATAGGAAAATTAGATAGGAGAGAAGAAAGAAAACTACTAAAATGTGCAATCAAAATATAGGATTGGAACTAACCAAGGTTTAGCTAATGCTATAGAAGGACGGTATACAATTGTTTCACATTACTTATAACTGAGTATTAAGTTATACGCATTCTTTGATTTGGCGTTTTATAGATGCATTACAAAAATAAGGGAGCATTAACAGATTTATAGTTGAACAACATGTACAGGATTACGACTAACAAGCTTCTTAGAAATAATATTTACTAAGATAAAGCAGCCAAAATAAAAAAAAATATATATATATTATATGCACCAATTATAACAATAATACAATAATACTAAGAATTTTCTTCGTGGCGCTGCATACAGTTATCAATTGAAGTATTTTTAGTATTTTATTTATAATAAACTTAGTTCAAGGTATTTTAATTTAATTGTGATAAAAATCTAAATCTAAATGTGTGATATAAATGGGAAACAATACATGTGTGACCAATCATTTGGGATAGATTGTTTACGATAAAGTGACGTGTATCCGAATAATTTATTTTTTTAAATTATTTTTAAGTCATTAAAATATAGTATACTTAAAAACTTACAAGACAATAACGATAATGAACACATTAAGTCTTGGTATTTATTCTATAAATAATTAACTGTTAGTTACACTTTAAAGCTAGTATAATGACAAAAATACGATTGAGTTTCGCTTCTGGGATGTATCGTTTATAGGTGATATTATATAATATAATATATGGTTTAAGTACGGACTTCGTAAGTATTCACAGTAGTAAATGTTTAATGTAGATGAAATTTCGTCATATTTTTATATAAAAAACTGAGTGGACATTGTTTTCAGCGGTGCAACATGATTGCGCCCGGCTTACTTTTTTTCATTCAAAAAATAAAACACCATTGCACCCAACCAATTAATATATGTGTTCCTTGTATAATATATCATATATAACACACACACACATACACACACACACATATATATATATACATATCAGTGTTTCTGAATTGCGCGTGAATATCATTATTTAGGATGAATAAAATTTATTAATTATTAGTGCATATTTTTGTTATTAGCTTCTATTTTTATGCACTCTTATTTAAATAAAAAATTGTAAAATATCGTCAAAATAAACATAAGTTTCAAAATTTTCCAACGTATAATAAAGTAAGCTAAAAATTGTAAATATATAAATAATTGTGTGTAGCAATACATTAAAATAATATAAAAATTTGATTAAAAAAAACTAATAAATATACAAATGATTTAAATATATATATTTATTTAAATCATATACTATTTATACATAAATAGTATAAAAAGTTATAAGTTAAAAGTTAACAATAAAATATTATCTAGATTATTCAAGTGCACGTTTTAATTAAAATACCTAATTATACATATTGGGAAACCAAGTTTAAGGAAATTTAAATCCGATTTTCAAATAGAGTATTGGAAAATTGTTAGAATATATGTATATATTGTATATGATATATATATATATATATATATATATACTATATATATATATTATATTGGAACTCAATCGTGTAAAAAGGTAAAACAGGTTCGACCGTGCTAATTGGTTGGGAGCAATGGTGTTGCATTTTTTGAATGGAAAAAGGTAAGACGAGCGCAATTGTGTTACAGCCGTTTTTAGATGATGTAGACATTAATTATGAAGATTATTATGTAATTTTTACAATGAAAAATAGTAAACGAAAAATCGTTTTTAATCTCCAATTTTACATTCGTTCAAAATCAGAACTTATAACGTAAATGAGTTACTAATAAAAGTTCTTGAAATTTACAAGTTAATCTTTGAATAAAGCTTTAAACGGTTATTATAGTAACTTTAAATTATCAATTTATTGAATATTATAGGTACATAATACATCATAAACGTTTTATTAATATCTTGTGCAGTGTTAGTTCTTTGTCGAAAACGGATATTGAAGTTCACAATGAAGGATTATAAATTTGAAATAATTAATTAAACATTAAAATCTATTGAAATTGAAAATTCGAGATAAAGACGGATAAAGATGTTGTCAAATACTTTATTTGATATTTTAGTATACATCATAATTGATTATTATACTTATTTCAAACTGTTAATACATGATGATTTCAAACTATAATATTAAGAACAATAATAATCATAAGAATAACAACATCGGTTATTTTATCGAGAAATGTATTTTTCTGACTCTAGACATCGGCTTAATCATTATGTCAAAATAGTACATAAAGACATTATATATTTAAATGATATGATTCCCATTGAATAATTTTACAGTAATATGTGATTGATTTTAGATAATATATTGTTATTATTTAAATACGTTCGATGCGTAATAAATTTTTGTCTGTGTTATTATTTCAATAAAAATTAAATCTTGTTTAATATTTCGCTAAAACGTTAACATTTTGATGGTATAAAAAATGAACTTCATAATAAAAAAATTTAATCAGTTGACAGTGACAGTTTTTATTTTATTTTTTTAAAGGAAATTGAAAACTCGATAAAAGGACGTATATATTTTTTTCAAGAATAAATATTGTATACATAAATTAGATTAACTGTATATTATTAACTGAATGAATCGAAAATTATTATTGTTCTAAGACGTAACAGTGCTGGAATTGGAAAAATAAATAAAGGTGAAAATTTGGAGTCTCGTTAAATGATTAAATTTGTCAAAATGTTTAAGGAGAACAACCATCAACCTTTATATAAATAACTCCTATATAGAAATATGTCAGTGACCATTTTTTATAAGTGATTAAAATAAATAATTCTGATCAATAGTAATTTATTCACTTTAAAATAAAATTGAATTAATCAAATATATCTACAGACATTTTTACATTTTTTTTAAATTAAAACTATACTATATTTTTTAGTTATAATACAGCATCTTAACAATAATAGTTTTTAAAACTACCAAATTGAATTTAAATATTTTATTAAATAAAATTTTTGGAAATAAAAATTACAAAAACGATTAAAAATATGTTTTGTAAAAGAAAACATATCATTCTACAGTTCTCATAAAAAGTATTAGTTGGGCGTGTTCTTAAAATAAATATTTTTAAACAACGGTGAAGTTCTTTTCCTTCTCCTCACGACAGTTTGAACTCCAATGTAGTCATTAGGATAAAAAAAAATAAATAAAATAAACATAATTATTAACATTCTAGAATTATCTTTTGAGTTTTTTTTGAGGTTTAAGACGATTTCAAACAAATATAAGTTTTCGCAGTAATTTAAAAAAATGTATTTCTCAAACGCACGTATAGTTGTTAAGTTGGTTTTTTTATTTATTTAAAATTATGTAATATATTGTGCTGGATCTTAGGTTGGTGCTTACGTGTTGAACCATTTGTATTCATATAAACCCACAGAAATCGTACAGCCCAAAGCTATAAATACTTATAACTGCATAATGGTTGAACGTAATAAAAATGAACTCAAAAAAAGTTAAGAATGGTACACACTATAATTTTTTTTTTTTTTTCATAGACAATCGTATACAGTTACTATTTAAAAAATAATGAAATATTGACTTACACCACTATGAATAAATTACATTAAAAACGTATGTTATTATCACCGACGAAAAAGAGTTACTGTATTTAACGTATTAAGTCTATGTCGGGTAAACTTAAAAATATCAATACAGAAACTAAAAAAGAAAAAAAAAAACATTGATCCTAAAAATAAAACACACAAATTTTAGTCAACTTCGAGCTTTCTAAATGAGCCTTCAACTCCAGCTAGCATGTTCATCTTAACGGCGGGTTTCTTTGTTCTTTTGTTTTCATCACAAACGACCGAATTTTGAGACAGGTACCAATCTCTGTGTTTTATCAATTCTTCTTTCCAGTCAACTGTAAATAAAAAAAAATATATTTATATATAAAATAATAAGATCGGTATAGATGGTTATATTAGAGTTTGGCATGTACCTATATACTTGTAAAACGTTAAATAGAAGTTGTTGTAAATTAGTTATTATTTTTAAGATACCATCAATATATTTCCATTGAAAAATACTGTAATGTTTTTTTAAATAATGTCAACACAGTTGTTTTTTGTTATGATATGTTTTGTTTTTTGTTTGATGAACGATCTAAAGTTATTAATTTTGAATTTATATGAGAAATCATGATTATGCGTTAGAGAAACATGTTATTGCATTATTATATTTTTATGATTCTAGTTAAATTATTATTTTCTCGATCGGGTCCACGTGCTGTTTGGACATATTCTAAAAACTAAATAAACGGATTGTAATAATGTCATGCGCACGAATCGCGTAAAAACGGCACGTTTCATAATAACGGCGTGGTTAAAAAATTCGAATACCGTATAATATATTTTATATATATATATATATATAATTGTGTACAATATATATATTGATATAGCTGCTAGTACCTATATACAAATGATATTGTTGTTAGGTTACACCGAAACGAGTAAAATAATATTGTCATTGTGGATACAATACAATATTATTGTTTTAACAAACAGGTATCCGAATTCTGAAGCTAATAAACTGTGACACGCTTTATTCTAGATGTGATCGTAAAAAGTTTATACACTGGCAGCGAAACAAATAGTAATGTATAGGAAGTGTATGAAACATAATCATATAATTTGGCGTCACGTGAATATAAAAATCGTAATACACTATTATTCACCACGTACCTAGCGTTTTGTTGAATTTAAATCCTAAGGAAACTTCTACCACTTCGTGCAAAACAACGAATAATTTATGGTAGGTAATATATTATATTTAAACCGCTATCAATAATACCGATTGCATGAAATACAATAATTCTAAATTTAAATTATCAGAATAATACCGCTATTAGCTATTAGATTTAAATAATTAAAAAAAAGGTTGTTGAAGCAAGCATTAGAAATCTAACATAATAAAAACCAATCGTCACATCGTAGTTTAATAATCCCCTACTCTCATTGTTGTTATCCAACAAAAAAAGTATATACACTTTAAATGATAATTTAAGTTGCAATTACACTGAATACACACAAAAAAAAAAATGTATTTTACTCATGAAAATAAAAACGAATCATTAGACCCCTACAGCTTAATTGATGAAAAAAAAAAAACGCACAAAAATATATCATTTATAATATAAGAAATAATTTTCTAAAGAACAGTGATTTTAATAATGGGTGTTGTGACTTTATGAATACGTCATGATAATCTATGCGCATTGCACATGTATGAAAATAATATTTTTTGATGTCATGAAGAAATTGATTATTTCATTTGAGGTCGTAAAACATTGTGAATCGCTAGTATTAGCCTATAGAGAATGTATCAAGCTAACATTTTTTTTCTCATCTACGGATAAATCACTTATTTTTTTTTATCTTTAATTGTTTTTTTGTTGGACGAGTGGCATCATCTGTGCTGGAACTGTCGTTTATCGCCTTTGTAACTACAAACCAAAACATGCAGTATTTATTGCATATTACATCCCCCTTGACCATTCAATCAAGTTTGATTTAATAATTATACATTTTTGACAAAACAATGTTTTGCGCACTCGTTAATATTTAATTTAGTACCCATAACAGACATCCAATAATAACGTTATCATGTCTATCTGAATTATTATAAATTCCGTAAAAGACAAGTAATATGTGGCAATCGTTATGGCGTGCATTGTTCTTGCGTGTGTATAACTTGGTCGATCTCATGTTTTTGTTTATGCGACCGGCGGCCTCGTCATAGATATACGTAATATAAAATTATTAGAGTAATTGGTATGCGGATTGCAAAGTCTATGTTTTGGTTTTGATTTTTTTAGAGGAGAATGCGGAAAAAATTATGAACATGCGTGAGTGTAAATTATGTAAACTCATAAGTAGGTGCATATCGTTATTATTATTATTATTGTTGTAGTTGTTCCGCGTTGTTAAATTTGCAAATGAACCTTGATCTTGGCGATTTTTAAAGATATTTTAGATATATTTATACTTGATTCGATAAAGCTTATTTAGTAACGTTATTGGAAAATATTATCATGCGATCACTATAACGTTGTAGTACGTAATATAACATTATTTATTGTTATAATGCATTTCAATGATTGGTACTTGCTATTAATAAAAATGTTTCCTGCACACTATCATTAAAGCCACTGTATAGCATAATAAATTTTAAATAGGTACTAATTCTTATGATGCGCACGTAGTTAAAATATATATTTAAGCGTTGTGGTATGTTTTGGTATTCGGCAAAGCAGTAAATACAAAATATAATCAAATAGGTACACACAAAAAAAAACACTTCCGCCCCGATACTATTTATGTTCTCTGCGCCTCTCAAAAAGTGGATAAAAAATATACTATTTTCAAGGACTTAAAATTATTATTTTCGTGATTACAAATACCAAAAACTAAAATAATCATAGTATTACAATCTAATGTGGAATAAATGACTGATTAATTAATATTGATGAGCAATCAGGCAGTCAGACGAAATAAACTTTATTGTACGTCGCAAAATATATGTAAAATCTAAAACCAAAGTAATTCTTCACTGTTATTTGTTGAAGTGTATATAGTAAAATATGGTTAGTATAATATAATGACTCACCGTCTCAAAACAACTGAAAAATGTAATCGGCGTTTGATGATTGTTGAAAAATATTGTTTGTTACGGAAATCATTAAAAATAACAGATATTCAAACACGTTAAAAAAGTAAAAAACGATATTTTATTTTATTTTTTATGATTCATGAACAGCATGATTTACAAAAGTAATACAATTCTTTGTCATCTACAGGTTAGTCTGGTTATTAGATACCGTAGCGTCATCAGTTCGTTGAAATCCGGTTTTTAGTTTACAAACGAGAATATTATTATTATTATTATTGTGGTAAAAAACAGCGAAAAAAATATATAGAAAAAATATATCTCATAATGTATAATTTTAAGTACGCAATGGCTGTATTTACTATTATTTGTTCACAAAGCAACAATAGCCATATTATTATACCTAAGTCGTTCCAATGAAGCGATACACATCATTATTGTGTTCAAGATACATGTCTCGATAAAATATTATCATTAAGGCACTTAGTAAAATACACTCAATAACAATTATTCTATCCTATAGAAATTTTATTTTTTTATTTTTCAAAAAAGGAAAATATTTTACAGTAGTTTACTATGTTTTTCAATATCTTAGTCTTAAACTGTAATACTATGTATTTTTAAAAATATTGAAGTTAAATGTGGGCTGTAGAAGTCTGAACTTCTTTCAGATAAAAAAAAAAAAAAAAAACTAACAAAATCAGACAATTTTACGGGTCTGAAAGTTTTTCGCGTGAATTCATTTTTGTTAATGTATATAATACTGCATCTATTTTCTAATCATAAACATATACCGGGGGTATTTGATCAATAGAAAATAATTATAATCAAGATTACAATTAAAATATAATACCTACTTGATTTTTAAATTGTATTAAATTGTGGAGAATTCTGAAAATTTGTAACGAGCTTATGGTGAAACCTATAAGCTGTCAAAAACAAATAGTCGATAACCCCATGTACGTTCATATTAGTATCTCGACAACCTATCGTTTTATATTTACTATGTAAAATATCAGTGGAAATAAACGGTCGATCGTGAATATTATAATCAATGCATGTGTTAAATGGTGTTATCGTTTGTCTGCGTGTAAAATATAACATGACATACAAATACATATCATGTAATATTATTATTATTTACAATAAGTACGGATTGTTAAACGTTTAATTTGTTTCGTCAAGTGGTCACGAAAACAACATTTTTCTGTTAAAATTATTATTGTCCAAACAATAATAATTTATAAATAATATTATTGTTATTGTTTCCACCAATTAATATTTAATTTAACGACGTAAAATCAATAGTAGGTAGTAGGTACTATACTGCAGTAAAATTATAATATGTAGGTAGGTCTATGGTATACGTGCGACTGTTTAATACCACCTTCGACACTCAATTGTAATGCGATATAACGTATCAACAGATTAAAATATTGTTAATTACACAGCGACACCGTTTTGATATGTATGGTACGAGGTACATGTTTTTGTTCTATTATTGTTATAAGTTCGGGAAAAATCAATTTGGTGACGATTAGTCAATAATACTGTTAACGTCCACATACAAGTATAATAATATACCTACGTTAATCATTAACATTGAAATAATATTATAATAATAATATGTTATTCACGGCTATATTATGAGGGGGAGGGGGTGGACTGAAGCTCAGGATCCTCTAAATTGTGTTATTATTTAATAGTGATCACTGCAAAAAATGTATATCTAACATAAATATGAAATTGTATTTTTCAATATAAAAATAAAGTCGCATATAAAGAAGAAATTATTTTATATTTTACGTATATCTAGTATACGTACCTACTTGTATTGTGTAATAACACTTATTAAATAAATATAAAGTTGAAAATAGTCAATGTTATTAATTAATAATCAAAATATATAGTATCCTGATTATTTATTTATAGCATCCACAATATACTCCGCCTAAAGGCAATCCATATTTAAATCTACACGTGTATTTACCATTACAGAAAGATTCAAAAATTGATAAGAAATTAAAATAAAATAAAAACTGTTATTGGATCTTTTTCTTATAATATAACTGTTATTTCTATAGAAATATTAAAAGTAGACTTACCGATTAATTCTTCACTAGTTTTCGGGAATGTACCACCATAGTCCAGTGGAAGAATGTCCGAATTAATGTGCTTCTTCAGGTCTTCGATACCGTTGTGAATTTTAATCTATAATGGGTGGCACAAAAAATGACGTTACTCAGGATAATAATTATTGTAAATTTTTTGCTTAAAAATACATTGAACGTTATTAGTTATTACACAGGCATTAGATAATGTCAAGTCGGTTTAACTCACTCTGTTGGCAATTTTCTTTTTCAAAACGCCCAACACCATGTTGACCATCGTTTGAGCGTAGCTGGGCATATTAAGTATGTGGATTTCTTGAATCCGTAATGGATAGGCCGTCTGAAAACACAATTACAAACGCATTTTTAATGATTAGTATGATAAGTAAACCATGCATTCTGAATAAATCACCAATTTTTCCTAGCGATATAGCGTGTTTATACAAAGATAATACTACTTATAATGTTTGCGAAAAAACTACATGAATATTGAGATACTTGAGATTAATATAATATTGATAATTAGTTAAAAATTATAACCAATTAATATTAAAAAAATTCACCCAAGTAGAATAGTACATTATTATCCATAGTATATTATTGAGTGTGACTTATCTAAAATTTGTATTTCTGGTAAAAAAAAAAAACAAGAAAGACTTAAAACTTAATATTATGTCCTAGCCCGTCATAATTATAAGAAGGGTATGCATAATACATTAGGCGGAGAGATTTGAAGCGAAAATATTTTATTATATTAATTATGAATACTGACGCTAATCAGATAACAATATTATTATTAAAAACTGGTAAAGCTATGCACTACGGAATAAGCCACCAAACAACTATTATTATTATTATTATGTAAAGCAATATGTTGTATTGCATTAAAATTATTCGCTTTCAACAGTAGATTCGTAACCTTGATAATGAAATCAACAAGTTCCGGTATACTGCAAAATTAAGGACGTAGCAAAACCGATCAAACTAGTTTCATGTTTCGATCCATACATTTATCACAAAAATAAGTGAATACTTGCAGCCGTAGAATTCCGGCAAGTTTATTCTCTTTGCGTACATGAATAATACTACTCGAATAATGTAATTATGACGATAAATCGTATTTTTTTTTTTACAAAATAATATTATTACCGCATTTTGCATATTATTATTATAAGTGAGCGTATTTAGAACAAGTATGACCTACGCAGCAGGTTTTTTTGAACTCGTGGAAGTAGATAACGATTATAGTTAGTTTACGTATAAGTTAAATCGAAAAAGATATAGTTATTTTTTGTCAATACGCTGACTAGGTAAATGTGATTTTATGGCGAAAATGATCTAATTATTATTGTATGTATTCTTATCCAACTCAAATACCATTTGGTAACCATAATTTATTATAGAACTCAATTAAAAATATTCAAAAACAAAACCATTATCTTTATACGTTGTTTAACATTTAGTTTTATATTTACCACCAGCCCTCTGCCCATTGTGAATATTTTTATAGCTCACGTGATGTTTATTTAAATCCATAACAATGTAATAATGTATAATTTTATTAATTGTATACTCACTGTCGCACAGTAAATGAACTTCTTCATCTGAGGTAACATAGCGGTCAGATGAGCCATGGTGATATCTTTCAAGTCGAAGACAAATATTTCCTTTTTGAACATATCCAATTTAGACAGCCTAATATCAATAGACATAAAGTTGACCTTCACGTAGTCCGCAAATTCGAAATTATCGATTTCTGGACATCTGATACGACTTAATGAGATTCTGTAGCCTTCTGGCGTCAGTTTTGGCAAAGGAATGAAAAGTCTAAACATCGAAAAAAAATAATTGTTTTCAATTATTTATTAATTCATTTTTAACAAATTAAATTTTTAGGAATTTACAAACTTTTATTTTTACAGTTTATTATTTTATATCAACTATCATTGTAGTAATTTAATGTTAGTATCTATAAATACTCTTCAGGTAGTGTTTAGCTACAATCTACTTTTAATTGTTAAAATATAGTACACAATGACACTAAAAATCGTTTAAAAATGATTGAAAGTTCATAAATATTATTACCTACCATTAAATATTTGTTAAGTAATAATATAAATTGTAAAATCGATAGTTTGCGCAATTATAAAATTAAAAAACAACAAATTTTAATATATTTTTAAAACTCTAAATATCCCACTGTGAATACAAAATTACACAATTATTATACGTAGTGAGCAAGAAATTTTGCGTTTAATTAGAAGTGTGTATTTTATGAAATTAACTTATCATTTTAATACATCATATTTATTAGGTCCATAGTAAATAATGGTAATTAATAAATGCACGTGTGATATATGTACTTACGATGTTTTCATTGATCTTAAAAGTGGTTCTGCAGTAGGATCTCTGTTACCGAAAAATTCTGGAACCATTGACTTTAATGTATAATATTGATCCAATGACTCTTTGGTCCTTTCCAAACTATTTTTGCACAAAATTAAGAACAAACGAATTCTCCGTTCGTCAACTAAAAATATATAATATACATGTTTTAATTAAATCTCATAAGAATGATTATTGGAAAATCAATTTTTTTTTTAAATACAATATATTTAACCATAAGATGGAATTATTGTAATTGTTTACTTTGAAGTTGTTTTAGTGATAATTTTAAAACATATTTTAGGAATTTGTTTTTTTTTTTTTGATTGTATAAAAAACTCGTTATAAAAAGTTCAAAGTTAAATTATTGACGGTTACACGATATCAACAAATATATTTTTAGTATTATATTATATGCATTTAAACATTTATTATTATTACAAAATAAAAAAAAAAAATGAACTATTTTATGATGTGATCGAAATTATTATTGAAAATTGACAAATTTTTAATGTAATATTATATTAAACTTATGTGTATCAATAAAATAATTTTATACTGATTATCACAGTAATAACAAAAAAAAAAAACTTTTAAAACGTAGAACACTTTTCAGTTATAACTAATTGCTTTTTTCACGATGTCATTAATTTTCATCATAATATAAACGTATTGTGGTAAAAACAAAAAATATTTTATAAATTATTACCGTCAGGATTGGGGAGATGTGGCTGTTTGCGCATCCATTCCATGATAGTCAGCACGTCTGCGTTTATCTTTTCTTCGGTTGTGCCCAAGTCCTGGTAAATTTCCTTCAACTTGTCCGGTGAGGGTAACAATAAGGTTTTTGTGGCCATTTTTGTTACTACGGGCTTAATGTGGGCTGAATGAATATGTTTATATTTAGACTAATATCGGCACAGGGCTTTGCGATACGGTTTCGAACGAGATCTGCGAGTCGGTAACGAGATTGATATTGATTTTATATTTTTGTAATTGATGGTATAATTGCTGGGGTACTCTTCGTGACCGTCGTCACCGTTGCCGTATCGATAACGACTTGTAATCTAAGAGTTCCAGCTAGGTTCATATATATATAAAATGCAACGGCGCGGGTACAACAAGCGGGTTTTGTCCCCTCCCAGTCACAGTTGTCGCGGAAAATCTACCACTTACCCCCACTATTCGTTAGCGATATGTAACAACTTATAACTAGTTGTGACGTGAGCGGTTTTCACTGTGTTTGATCAGCGATCTCGGCTTGCTTGGCTGAGACTCAATTACCGCACAAAGGTCTGGAAATGTTTTTAATTTATTATATATTTATTTTTTTTCACGACCAGAATGACGACGACGACGACGACTATACAACTACGACTTTACATATATCCTTGGGTTTTTATACAGATCGTACCAATAATATCACGTGAACGGGTTAGCTACACCAACTAGTAGCACTCGAACAAACCGATCAGATATAGGCGTCGTTAAGTCGTGCCAGTAATTCCAGACTCGATGGATCTATGGGTAAAATATTGTTTAAGTAGACATTATTGTCGGTGGTGCATATAGTTATGGTTATATTTTAATACATGTTATTATTATATTTTATATATTTTAGTCATGCTGTACTGGTGTGTGACGCGATATTTTATTAGTTGGACACCTTATTCATTATAATTAATCAGTAATAATTCATTTTTGCACGGACAGTAAAATTTAAATAGAACTTTATTCACTTGCATCAAACACAGCTAATGGTTGATTTTTTTTATTATTATTATTATTACTATTATTTAGACCCTCGGCACTCAGATCATTGAGTGAACATGATATCGTATAACAATATTTATACATATTTATTTTTTGCAAGAAGAAAAAACATTTTTAAATTTGGTTATGATGTTGGGCGGTGACAGTAAATTTGTTAACGGTAAAAATTGATTAGGATGATGATTACTCAATATTTCGGTATTTATCTAGAAGACTTAGATTTGGTTTGGTGTTGTGAAAAGATTAGTATTCTGTTAAAAATATATATTTGGGGGGTAATAAACTCAACGTGTGCATTTTATAATTTACTGAACTATTAAAATGTTGTTAAATCTATATTTTAAAATGGTATACAAAATTATATTATAAGTAATATAGTATTAATAAATAACATCGTCTTATTTTTAAATGTTTAAATATAATTTTTTTTCTATTTTTTTGCCCTTCAAAACAACTTATAGACTATTATTAATTTATTTCTACAAGAATAATATTGAGGTAAGCTGAAGAGTTAATATTATATTGAGTAAAAAAAAAAAAAAAAACAACATAAATATTAGTTATTAAGGTATCTGGATAGTATTACAATTGAATTAATATTTTGATTACGTACGATATAATACTATAATTTGTAATTAATATTACAGCTCGAATTGGTTTTCATTCCATATTTTCATGATACAAATTATTTCAATACATAATATATTATCGTTTAATTAAATATCATTTTTTTTTCTTGTTTGGGTGAAATTATTCGATATGAAATTTTATATGAAGATAATTGTGAACTATATTGCCTGATAGCTGAAGTCGTGTATCAAATTAATTTGATCATCTTATAACGATTTATACATGCATATAAGTAAAATGTACATATATATTACATGGATTATACTTGTAATAAATTCGAGAACTATAAATGAGTATATCATAATTTTTAGAATTTTCTAGAATAATAGATTGTATTGAAAACAAAATAAGTTAAAAAACCTAAACAAACTATTAACTATAATAAAGTGTAAAACTTAAGCAACTTAATGTTAAAAAATGTTGGGTACAAAATTATACAAAACTTATATTACATTTTAAAATTAATATTTTAGTATAAAGACAGAAAATGTATTGATGGTGAGTTTATAGGCGTCAAGGCTGCACAATTAAAAAATACCTAAAATGTTAAGCTTTAATTAAATTTTTAACTAAATGAAATTTATACATAGATGTAATTAATCAATTAATTATATTTTTATATTTGATAAAATGTATAAAAATTATTGTAATATAAACATTAAACAAGTATGTTTATTGTAACAAAACAATTGCATAGTATCAGTGTGGTATAAAATCCTACAACTGTATGTAAAACTATAGAAAATTAATAACATAATAATTGTACTTAATATAATATAATATACTACCTAACAAAGCTAGAATAAAACAGGAAATTTAACTCTTAAAGATTAATACAACTATAGTCATATTGATCAAACATGTATGTAATCATATTTTTTTCATATAAAACTTACGTAGTCATTTACATAAGAAAAATAGTATCTATAATAAATAAAACTGACTTAATAAGTGATTACATTCATATATATTTTTCAATTATTTTATACATTAATTTAAATAGATATTACTGGATTTTATCTGTATCAATTGATACAGTTTTTGTTGTTTTTTAGTTTTTTTAATATTATCAATCTGTATTTGTTATTAGCAATAATATTTTTTTACTATACCTAAAATAATAATGGAATTTTAAATTTTAAAATAATTTTAAACATTACTTATGATAGACATAGCTTGATTCATGATTTAAATATATTGATTTCTCATTATATGAATTAAAATTTAAAAAAAAAGTATCATCATTATGCGTGTTTAAAGTCAACTAATACTAGAAATAAATACTTAGCCAGCATCATATTATCTTACCCATATTTTATTAAATTATTATTTCTTGTAAAAATATTTTACCAATTAAAAATATTATAATAAGAAACGGAGGATTGATTCTAAAAATTGAATTGTATAAAAATTCAATCATTTTAGAAATATATAGATAAGTAAAATTTAAATATTTCTGTTGTTATTTATCTCATAAATGTAATAAAGCATTCACTAAAATAATCTCCAGAGTTATACTAGAAGTAAATTTTCCTATAGACGGAGGCAAAAATGAATATTTTACTAACCCTGGATCAAAATACTTAGATATTTGTTTCAAATTCTTTATTTGATCGTACTCGGTAATCTATAACAAATATGTTTAGATAACTATTCGAGATACTGGTATTTAAAATATTAAATATTATCATAAGTGTATTATATATGTATATTGTTTTCCTTATTATAATTAAATAAGTAAATGTCACAGCACAAAATACATTTAAATATTTAATTAAAAAATGTTTTAAATAATAATGTAAGATTTGTTTAGAATGAAAATAACTTATTTTGAAGATATATTATTTATAATCACTTTCATATGGCTATTTTACCATGATATTTTCATCTTCCACTATAAGCACCTTACCTAATTTATTCATATGGTTCATTTTTAATGATAATTATTATTAAACAAAAAATATCATTAGTTACTTACGGTCTGAAAAAAAAACTAGTCAAGTTAGAATAATATGTTAAACATGTAAATACAACTTGAATATTCTTTTGCAAATATCTTCACTAATAATTAAAATCATTTGTAAAGTAATATATAATGAAAATAACCTACGGTGCATATTAATTTGAAGGTTTTTCGCATAGTTCCATTGATTTTAATGAAATATTTATTAATTCCGGATTTCCGATGTGTATGTTAATATAAATAATAATAAATACACTAAAACAATTTTTGTATGTATATATTATTTATAACAAATATTTATTTTTTAAATATATAATAAATATATTATTAAAATCGACTTAAAACCACTATGTTTATTAGTTTATTACTATGACATATACAACATTATATAAATATATTATAATGCATAATAGCCTGTGCTCTTCTTATTTTATTATTTACTTAAAATAATATATTACAGACATTTTCCTTTTAGAGTTTAAACATTATGTGAATAGAAAACTTCAAGTTTTAAATAAAGTTGACCAATATTTTGCAGAATATCCTTGTACTATTTCGCTCATCGAATTAAAAATATTTAAATACTCGTTCAATTTTTGATTCTTCTGGTATAAAATTAAAATAAATAATAACACAAATATATGGTTTTTTTTTTCAATAATTTAAAACATTAAAAATATTTGCATGTTTCAGATAATCACTCCAAACAATCACTGTGTATTTTTAACGGTAATACAAATATAATTAAATACATAATTGTACATAAAATACATATAAATAGAATAAATTGCATTATATTTATTTGCATAGCTATATATCATAAAAAATAACCATAAAATGAATTTGAATACATTTATTTTATTTTTAAAAATTAAAAAAATATGTGAGTTTATGTAATTGATACTAATCTGTATGTTGTAGTAAACTGTTAAAGCCTTTGTTTCAGAAATTCCTGATTATTAGTTTAAACTTATAGACAATACAGATCCGCAAACATAAAAATTGTATATGAACAAAGAATTGGGAACTATATACGTGATACTTCTTACTATTTACAGAAGCAGTTTGACATTTCACAGTCCAAATGGCAATCTTGTGCGCGCATGTGAAAATCATCCCGTTAGAAACCCATTCTTGAAAAAATAAAACTTTGAAAAATTATTGTTTATTTTTAGGGGCTGTAAATAAGATTCTTAAGGATAGGACTAGACCTACATTTTTTGATTTGTCCAAAATCGATTTCACCGTATTTGAGATATAATCACTCTTAATTCATCATTATTATAATAATGAAATCACTGAATAAATATTTACATAATAATCTATTCGATATCACTGTGTATATATAACATCATAATAAAGTCATAAATAGTATTATGATTTATGATATGCGTTATAACACATTACTGTGGTACAATTATAATGTAGTATTATAATATTATTATTAAAATAATATTACAGACGTTAAATGTATTTGCTCATAATTATTATTACACATGGAGATACACCAAATATGCTACATAACCATTTTAAATTCTAAGTAAAGCTATTTATATATTGGTTTTAATGCCTTTTATACGAATAATTAATTTAATTATTGTCTAAAACATTTTAAATTGAATATTTTTTTTATTCAATCTTCAACTTGTTTTCTGGTAGAAAATTGAATCTTATTAGTATACTTTGGGAAATCAAAAATGAAAAATAGT